CTACTCACCCACTCACCCTCAAACTCGCCCGCTCACCTACCCCACTCACCCACCCACTCACCCTCAGATTCGCCCGCTCACCAACCTACTAACTCGTTTGTCAATTCACTCATCCTCCTACTCACCCACCCACTCGCACTCTCCTACTCTCTCTACTCACTCACTCACTACCAAGCACTCACCCTCTCTCTCCGACTCACTCAACCTCTCTCCCACTCACTTTCCTGCCCATGCACTCACTCTGCTACCCATTCACCAATTCACCCTCATGTACCTACTCACCACCTACCCTCACACAGAGTGATTTTGTTTCAAAATGGAAAACACGGAAACAATTTCATTAAAAAAAAAGAACGGGGAAAAGAGCAAATAAAGCAAAGTAAGGAAAAAACTAAAAAAACCGACATGATGAACAAAGCAAAGTGCCGACTAAAGCGATCATCTTCTTGTTTCCTCTGATCGTAAACAAGAGAGAGAGATGGGGAAGAGAGAGAGGGAAGATAGGTTCATGGCGACAGACTTTGATTTTTAAATAACTTTTTATTGCCGCCAGCAGCAAAAGCACTGGAGGCGATTTCGATATGAAACACGCCGAGAGACGAGAGCGACGAGAGTTAGAAGAGAGATAAGAAGGAGAGTTAAGAGAGAGGGAATATCGTCGAGTATAGACGGGAGACGAGGGGCAGGTAGAGAATAAGAGAGAGTGCGAGAGAGTGACCGAGAGAGTAAGCGAGAGAGTGACCGAGAGAGTGAACGAGCGAGAGAGTGAGCGAGAGGTGGGGGTTTACATGAAGTTACAAAAAAAATTACGAAATGATGAACGAAGCAAAGTGCCGACTACACCGAGTATTTCTTGTTTCCACTGATCGTAAAAATAGAAGAGAGAGTGAGGCTGGCAGTAGAGTAGAGAAAGAGAGAGATAATCGAGAGAGAGAGAGCTGTCACTCGTGCGTGGAGGAGGAGGAGATGAGGGGGGGGGGGGTCACGGTGCGCTTTGATCCGCGCTCATCACGACGATGTCGGTGACGATGATGATGAGGAGGATGAGGACGGCCACGCGACCCGGTTGGTGTCACGTGGAGTCAAGTCGCGCTGAGACGTCTTCATCCGCCATGCAGATGAAGACGTCTCGCTCGCCCCCACCCCCTCGACTCTCCTCCCGTCCCTCCCTCGGCCACTCCGCCCTCCGCTCTTCACTCCTCCCTCCCTCGCTCGCTCATCAACATACTCCACGACCATTCACTCCGTTGCCGACCATTCAACCCGCTTCCCACCCGCTCCCTCACTCCATTCACGTGCGCCCTCGACTTCGTGCTACCTCGTGCTCGAGAGATAAAATAATAATACAATATTTGCATGACTTTTTTATTTTTTTTTTTTATTTACGCGGCTTTACCGAAAGACCCAACGAATATGGATTCCTGCAGTCACGAAAGCTTTAAGTCAAGATCTATTTCGACTCTCTCTCTCTCTTTCATCTCATCTTGTCTCTCTCCTATCTCTCTCACCCTCTCATCCCTATTCTCCTCTGTCGCCCCCCCCCCCCCCCACTCTCTCTCGCTCTCGTTATCGGTTTAACAACCCCCCCATTTCACACTTTTGTCGTCGCAAGAGCAGTCAGAGTCTTAACTTTTTGTTTTATTCGCGTCTCAAGAGTTTACGAGCGCTCCTCCTCGCCTCGCAGGGGTGCCCCGGGTCGGAGGGGCGGGGGGGAGGGGGGCTCCTACCCCTCCCCCATCCCCCCTAACCCTCCCCCACCACTACCCCTCTCCCTCCCCACTTTGGGAGTCTTACAGGGGCCGTGTTAAGGGAGCCACGGGGCCCTGTGTTGGGGGCACAGGGGGCGTTAGTATATTGAAGCGACGGTTAAGGCCGAGTCGATCTAGGGCGAGATCGGTGCAGATGTTGATTCGTCACTGCTGTCGATCGCGAGCGGGAGTCGAACTCGGTTCGCCGCCGGCTCCGTGTCTCGCCGTGCGCTCACCACCACCACTGCGTCATCGCTCCCCCAATCACGCGCGCGCGCATATTCTCATTAGCTCTCGCACCTATGCATACTCTCATACTCCCACACACAAAGACAAAGATTTATTCCCCCCCTATAGCCTTCACAGACTGTAGGGGCAAGTGCTGTTAGCGAGCACCTATGAAGGCCGGCACGACACACGAGGGAGTGGGTGGCCAACATCACGCCCGGCCGCCTTTGTCTCCCTAGTGTCGATGTTTACACACCGCACCAGGTACTCATTTGAGGCTGAGTTAACCTAGGGGAGGCCCAGGACCGGTTCAGATAATCGTCACCGGTGTTGGCCGTGAGCGGGAATCGAACCCGGATCGCCTGGTTCGTAGCGCAGCGCGCTAACCGCTACACTACCGCTCCCCATAATATACACATACACACACATTCTCATAGACAAACACACACATTCTCATAGACAAACACACACACACACACACATTCTCATAGACAAACACACACGTACACACACGAACACACATTATCATAGACACGCACGCACACAGACGCGTTAGTTAACACGCCTAATGAGGCTTCTGCATTCATATCCGTCAACAAAGCGACAACTTTGATAAACTCAACTACTTTTTTTGTTGACAATTGTCTTTATTTTAGCAGGTAAGGCCCACACTGAGCTACGTAGATATTTTTTTTCAGAAGCGACCTGGACATCACAAATGATAGCTCAACGACGTGTGGCGTCTCACCATCATCATCGCGTGGAACTTTATAGCGCATGATGTTGATTCCTAAATGTGGGGGGGGGGGGGGGCAGAGGGACCCGGAGAAAAATCCACGCGACCACAGGGAGAGAGAGACACCGCAAACTCCACATATACAGCGGCAGGCATCGTCAGGGTCTGGATAGATCCCACGAATTCCTGCATACCAGGCGAGGTAGTTAACATCTCCTAGCCACCGTGATGATGATGATGAGAGAGACACACGCAAACTCCACAAATACAGCAGCTGGCATCGTCAAGGTCGGGATCGAACCCACGACCTCCTGCATACCAGGCGAGGTAGTTAACATCTCCGAGCCACCGTGATGATGAGAGAGAGAGAGACACACGCAAACTCCACATATACAGCAGCAGGCATCGTCAAGGTCGGGATCGAACCCACGACCTCCTGCATACCAGGCGATGTAGTTAACATCTCCGAGCCACCGTGATGATGAGAGAGAGAGAGACACGCAAACTACAAATATACAGCAGCAGGCATCGTCAGGGTCGGGATAGATCCCACGAATTCCTGCGTATCTGGCGAGGTAGTTAACATATTCTAGCTACCGTGATGATGAGAGAGAGAGAGACACGCAAACTCCAAATATACAGCAGCAGGCGTCAGGGTCAGGATCGAACCCACGACCTCCTGCGTATCTGGCGAGGTAGTTAACATCTCCTAGCCACAGTGATGATGATGAGAGAGAGAGATACGCAAACTCCAAATATACAGCAGCAGGCGTCAGGGTCAGGATCGAACCCACGACCTCCAGCGTACCTGACGAGGTAGTTAACTACTCATAACCACCGCGGTGCCCACAATAAATAATTATCTCGCCTCTACTCCGATCTCGAGGCCATCTGCGATGAGCAACGTGCACGGGGCAGCAGTCCGAGTCGCAACGTGCCGGTGTATTGTCTCCACCCCCAACCACACGTCACCCCGGCCATACCAATGTGGAATTGACATCATTGGCTTCTGCAGGGCCTGTATGAGCAGATGAGCAACAATGCCTCTCCAATACTCGTTCGAGTATTGGAAAAAGAACTCACCTGGGGAAGGATCATTGCCCGAAACGTTCGCTTGGTGTTACGTTATAAAGGCAGGCAATGTTTGTCGCCGATGCTGTAATAGTCGACGAATGTGCCGTGGGCAGAGGAGGGCCCACCACACGCACTCATTTCCCTCTCGCGATCTCACCCAAAGATCAATGATTTATTAATCACAATATCGCGGGTCGCGACAGCTTGTTACGTGTGTCACATTGAATTGAATCGCGTATGTTACTGTACTATACGCGCGTGTTGGTGTGTATGTGTTAGCGTGCCAGTGTGTACGTGCATAATTTGTGTACGTGTGTGTGGGGGGGGGGGGGGAGTGGTGCTGCAGCGGTTAGCGCTGCGCTACGAAGCCGGAGACCCGAGTTCGATTCCCGCTCACGGCCAACGCCAGTGACGATTATCCGAGCCGGTCTTGGGCCTCCCCTAGTTCGATTCAGCCTCAAATGAGTACTTGGTGCGATGTGTAAACATCGCGACTGGAGAGACAAAGGCGGCCTTCATAGGTGCTCGCTAACAGCACTTGCCCCAACAGTCTGTTCCAGGCTATACGGGGCATCTTTGTTTTTGTGTGTGTGTTTAAGTACGGATGCACCCCAGCGTAGAGATGATAAATGAACCAGTAGACAATTAGCTACGCGCAGCATATGTGTCCATTAATTAATTATTTCCCAGAATTTCTGTCGCCAATTGCCTTACCTGTCACTCACTTTGCTCGCCCCCCCCCCTCTCCTCCCTCTGCCCCCCCCCCTCTCTCCTCCGCACGTGACCGCTCACCACCCAACAACTCTCCCCGAACACAAACACTGACGCCCCCCCCCACCACCACCACCCCCCCATCGTTACCCCCTAACACGACCCCCACCTGGCATCCACGCTCACAACACCACCCCCGAAACCAAACCCCATACACACACATACACAATTACACACACATATATACACACACACTCATACACACATACACACACATATATACACACACTCACGCTTACATACACACACATACCCACTCACGCTTACACACACACATATACACACTCACGCTTGCACACACACATACACACACTCACGCTTACACACACACATGTATAAACATTCACGCTTACACACACACATATATACACACACATACACACACACTCACGCTTACACACACACACACATCTACACACATACACACACACACTCACGCGCAGGGATCTTGCCCTGAGTGGGGAGGGTGCCCGGACCCAGACCCCGCACCCTCGACGGAGCCGCCCGAGGACGGTGCACCCAGGGCAGTCGGCCCCGCAGCTCGACTGCAGCATGCCCCACAAAGGTGAGCGCTGCCCCGTGCCCTGCCCAGCGCTGCCCCGTGCCCTGCCCAGCGCTGCCCCCACCCCCCTTGGCCCTGCTCATCTAAAGGCGCAAGACCAAATCGCGCGCCCGCTTTGTCCACGTCTGAGCGAGTTGTTGCGCACAGCAAAAATCTGCAGGCGACTTCCGCGTTCGGTTTTTCGCGCGACCGGACCGGGTTGCGTGCAACTGATCGCAGCAGGTGCGAGGCGAGAGAGCTGCGTGTCTCGTTCAGCGGTGCAGAGAGGGTCACGCTGTGTGTGCCGCACACGTGTGTGTGTGTTTAGCGTGTGTCTCTTGGCGTGTGCTTAGCGTGTTGTGAATTCAGGAGCGGGGTATCCCGGTATTTCCCTCTTCTTAACAACAACATCAACAAGAACATCTCGTTATTGCCATGGCCATTAAAAATCAGTCCATTCACACCGCTTTATAATATAGTAGTTCTCGGATGCTCACACATTCACATTATAATGAAACACACAGTACATATTATTCAGATATTTATATAAATATGTGCATATAATACTAATAATAATTTACCTCCCTTTGCCAATCCACTGCTGGATGAAGGTCTTTCCAATTGACCAACGTGGTGAAGTATGGTCGAATGACCCCAAATACAAATTCATACATGCACATTCCAATATATATACACACACAGCGTATATATGTAGACAAATCATGCCCACGCACACACGCACATAGATATCTAGTATAAGTTACATGATATGTGTGCAGGTTAAGTACAAACTATACGCATATTGTACAAATATAAAAACCACGATTTTTGGGGCAGGAGTTCTGTTAGCGAGCACCTATGAAAGGCGACACGGTACACAAAGGGGTGGGTGGCTAGCACCACGCTCCACCGCCTTTGTCTCCCCAGTGGCAATGTTTACACACCACACGAGGTACTGATTTGAGGCTGAGTCGACCTATGGGTAGGCCCAGGACCGGTTCAGATAACCATCACAAACACAATTGACAACAACAACAGCAGCAGACAAACCCAAACACGTTCGTCAATAACGCAGTGTGGCCTTGTGAGGAAAAGTAAATAACAGACGACGTTTCGGCAAACGATCCTTCTGCTCAGAAGAAAAAAAGGGTCATTGCGCGAAACGTCGCCCAATTGTCAACTTTGAATTTTGAATATGCTTGAAACTGTACATGTGTTTTTGTTTGCGGTGTCGGCGGGAGATGTTCTGGGTGTGAGTTCTCTGCCCCCGGCCCACGGCTCACATCAAGGTTTCAAAGCGCCGTGAAATGTGTGCGCGAGTGACGCGCAAGCGCACAAAGACAAAGGTGCCCCGGGTAGTCGACGCGGGCTGCCGCGGCAAAGTCTTCCGTGAGCGAGCAGCACCTACGCAGAGTCAGAACGGTTCACGAGGGGGCCGCGTGGCCGCTTTTGTTTTCCCCGGTAATGATGTTTACGCAAATGATTCGAGGCTGAGCCGACCTAGGAGAGGCCCAGGACCGGCTCAGACGATCGTCACTGATGTTGGCCGTGAGCGATGAGAGAGGAATCGAACTTGGTGCCGCGTCCGTGCGGTAGCAACCGCGTAGCCGCGACACAACAAAGACAAAGATCCCCCGTGTAGCCTCAACAGGCTGTTGGGGCAAGTGCTGTTAGCGAGTAGCACCGATGAAGGTCGACACGGCGCACGAGGGGGTGGGTGGCCAGCGCCACGCCCGGCCGCCTTTGTCTCCCGCGTGGCGATGATTTTTACACACCGCACCAGGTACTCATTTGAGGCCGAGTCGACCTAGGGGAGGCCCAGGGCCGATTCAGATAATCGTCACTGGTGTTGGCCGTGAGCGGGAATCCAACCCGGGTCGCCGGGTTCGATTCCAGAAACACGTGCATACACACACGTACATACACACACGTACCTACGCACGCACACGCGTGCACACACGTGCACAGATACACGTCATAACACAAGCACGCACACGCGCGCACACACGCGCGTACACAAAGACACACACACACACTCGAACGCGCACACACTTATCGCTGCAAGGACTTTCACTCGCAGTGATAAAAGGCCTCTTAACTGCGGAACAATAGCGCCATTGTCACCACGAATCGAGTGTCTTAAGGCGTGGATCTTCAACACTCGAAACGAGGCTGCGTCCACACAACAACAACACACACACACAACCTCGTAGAGAACTCTCGCCAACCCCGCGGCAGCGTGGCAGCACACACACAGCAGCAGCACACAAGCTCTGTTACACGCGCACTGCACACACGCGCGCGCGCGCTCAGCACGCAATGTGTGCCGTGTGTTTGGCAACGTTCCGTCGTGTTTAGCGCAGACAGAAGAACACACACACACACAAAGTACAAAGAGCACTCCACCCCTCCCGTGCTGCTGTTGGGGCAAGTGCTGTGAGCGAGTACTGATGAAGACGGCCAACACGGCGCACGAGGGGGTGGGTGGCCAGCACCACGCCCGGCCGCCTTTGTTTCTCCCCCAGCGCTGCTGCTGTTTACACGCCGTATCGGGTACCCATATACGGCTGAGAGACCCAGGATCGGTTATTGGTCGTGAGCGGGAATCGAACTCCGGTCGCCGGGTTCGCAGCGCAGTGCGCTAATCACTGCGCCACCACTCAAAACACAAGTAAAGACAAAGATCCCCCGGATAGCCTTCACCAGACTGTCGGGGCAAGTGCTGGTTGCGAGTAGCACCGATGAATGGCCGGCACGGCACACGAGTGGGTGGGTGGCCAGCACCCCCGCCCGGCCGCCTTTGTCTCCCTCGTGATCACGCGTGCGCGCACGTCACGTAGACCCACGTGAGAACCAATGACCAAGAAGGGATCTTTTTTAACGAAACGAACCAACGGAATGGACCCCCCCCTCCTCCTTCACGGCCCCCTTCGTAACTTACCTACAAAGTAACCCACCAAACAATACGCCTCATTCACGTCCCTGTCCATCTACGTTCAAATGAAACATCTTCGTGCATCTAATATATTTGACATATCCCATCGGTCCACACGGCATCCGTTCTGTGAGTCGCACAGCGCTCGGCAGCGTCGGTTTAACGCGAGCAACAACAATAAAATATCAACAACAATATCAACAACAATATCAACAACAATATCAACAACAATATCCACAAAATAACAACAATAATAACAACAAATAACAACAATAACAACATATTCTTTGGGTCTTTCGGTCACGTAGATAGAAAAATCTTTTTATTTTTTAAAATCATTTTTCCATCTACGTGACTTTACCGAAAGACCCAAATAACATGAATTCCTGCAGTCACGAAAGCTTTAAGTCAACAATAACAACAACAATAACAACAACAATAACAACACAAAACTGCGCCTGTTTCGACACGCGGTGTCTCATCAGCTCGAGTCGGGGGGGGGGGGCTGGCTTGAACCAATGCTGGCGGTGATTCATAGTGGATGGTCCATAGTCCCGTACAACCATTCAGCCCGCTGCGGTGCAATCGATCACAGCGGCGCGGAGATTCACGGGGGGATGGGAGGGGAGGGGGGAGCGGTGGCGCAGTGGTTAGCGCTGTCGCACCGTGAACTCGGCTGTCCGAGTGACGTGTGAGCCGAGCAGAGGCACCCCGCAATGGCTCGGCGTGGTGAAGTATGGTCAAACGACCCCCGCCGTGACATAACAGACGTGGGGGGTGGTGGGTGAGTGTGGGGGGGGGGGGGTAGCAGTCTTTAGTTCGTCGTGGATTGACCAAAGAAATGTTCGTCTTCTATGGCCAGAGACGCGTGGGTTCCCTCTCTTCACGTCGACCGAGGATGTTGTCACAGAGCGGTTGCGTGATACTTTTTATGAACATTTCTCGATTTTACATATGTATATATATATTTGTTATAATCTACGCATTGGTAGCATGTGCGTGCGCTACACGCGCGTGTGTGTGTACTGTGTGTTAGGCGCGCGTGTGTGTGTGGTGTCTGTGTGTAGTGTGTGTGTAATGTGTGTTAGGCGCGTGTGTGTAGTGTGTGTTAGGTGTGTGTGTGTAGTGTGTTAGGCGTGTGTGTGTGTGTAACGTGTGTTAGGCGCGCGTGTGTGTAGTGTGTGTTAGGCGCGTGTGTGTGTAGTGTGTGTGTCGTGTGTATTAGGCGGGCGTGTGTGTGTGTAGTGTGTGTTAGGCACGTGTGTGTTAAGTGTGTGTACTCACGCGCGCGTATGTTCGTGTTTTGTGTATGTATGCATGCGAGTGTGTTAAATGTGTTTAGCGTTTTTATAACACAAACACAGATCCCCCGTATAGCCTTTAACAGACTGTTGGGGCAAGTGCTTATGAGGGCCGACAGCGCACGAGGGGGTAGGTGGCCAGCACCACGCCCGGCCGCCTTTGTCTCCCCAGTGGCGATGTTTACACACCGCACCAGGTACTTATTTGAGGCTGAATCGACCTAGGGGAGGCCCAGGACCGGTTCAGATCATCGTCACCGGTGTTGACCGTGAGCTGGGAATCGAACTCGGGTCGCCAGATTTGTAGTGCAGCGTAGCGCTAACCGCTACACCACCGCTCCCCATGCGTACACACACACACAGAGAGAGAGAGTACATACGTATGCCTAACACATGTACGCCCACATACACATTGCCTGCACACACAAAACATTGGTCTCACGTCTGCAATTGCCTACGACAATACACCATTGTTGTACTGTACTAAAGTCCCCACGCGTCTATGCCCCCCCTCCCCCATGTCCACTAACCCGCACTGACCACGCGGGTGAAGTATGGTCAAACATCTCCATACCGACCCCACGATTGCGTGGTGCACTCATCATTATAATTATTGTGCACAGCGTGAACGTGCTACGTGTACACACGCGGCACGTGTCTACTCGGTGTGCGTGTGCACTACGTATATTTACGCAAATACATCGTGTGACTATTTATACGATGTAACTGCAGTGTACGTAGAACATTAATGTATGTACATACACACAGGCAATACACAAACAAGCACG